TTGTTATGGTTTGGGGCTTATTTTGTAAGGGAGAACAACATAAAACAGGACACATATTTTATAAGGTTATTTATAATAGTCACTCAAAGAACAATACACAAATGAGTGCAGGATATCTGTCCACACACTAAGACCAAGGAATCCAGCTGAGGGCCTGGATCCCATGGAAATGTCCTGCATGAGTCCAGCCGAATACCTAGAGCTCGTAACAAAGCCTCCCACGAATCCAGCTGGAGGCCCAGAGCCCATGACAACATCTCATGCAGGCCTGTTTCATGGATAGGCGCTGGGAAGGCCCAAAGTTCAATGGTAGAATCTAGGGTGTCTGTGCCAACAGGATGAAGGATCTGTGCTAGCAGGCTGAAGGATCTGCACTGGAGCCAGGAAGCAACACTCAGAAGAACAGAGCTCCCCCGAAAGGTACCACAGCCATCCTCAGCAACAGCGAGGTCCCGAGCTCCTCGGATGATCAAGATGGCTGAATTCCATCAGGGAAGCCAACACAGCAAGCTTCTCCAGCAAGCTGGCAGTGCACCATCTTCCTCTCCAGAGCCAGGAAGCGATGCTCAAACTGAGGACCAGAGCTCCCCCAAAGTGAACCAAAGCCATTCTCAGTGCCAACAAGGTCCAGAGCTCCTCGGAGGATGAAAACAGCTAAGTTCATCAGGAAAGCCACCACGACGAGCTCCTCCAAAACAACCAACAGCTCATTATAGCTTCCACCATCTCCACCAAGTCTCTCAGCTCCCAACAGCCTTTTCTTCTGTGCTCAACAGCCTAGCCTCTTATGATGCTGGCAACAGTCCCCAGGTGGGCCTCCCACACCCAGCACCACATTTACTCAGTTCACCTGGGAGTTATAAGCTGACAACCAGTTGTCAATCTACCACAGGCATGTAGGCTGATTACATCTTGGAAACTGAATAGTGTTGCAATAAACATGGTTGTGCAGGAATCTCTTTGGTGTGCTGATTTCATCTTGTTTGGCTATATACCTAGAAGGAGGATAACTAGATCAATACGATAGATCTATTTTTAGTTTTTTGAGGAAACTCCCCTGTATTCTCTATAATGGCCATACTAATATACATTCTTATCAATAGTGCATAAGAGTTCTTTTTTTTTTTTTTTGATAAGGTAGCAGAATACAAAACAACATTGCCAGTAAAAATGCCAACTTTTTTTTTTTTGTAATAGCCATTCTAATTGTGGTTAGATGGTATATCACCGTGATTTTGATTTGCATTTCCCTGATGGCTAGGGATGTTGAGCACTTTTTTCCCCCACATATTTGTTAGCCATTTTTATTTCTTTTTTGAGAATTGTCTATTCATGTCATTTGCCTATTTTTAATTGGATTACTTGGTTGTTTTGTTAGGGTTTTGAGTTCTCCATATATGCTGGATATTAACCCTGTCAGATGAAGAGTTGACACATATTTTCTCTCATTCTGTTGCCTCTTCATTCTGTTGTTTCCTTTGGTGTTCAGCAACTTTACAGTTTGATGGAATCCTATCAGTGAACAGTAGCTTTTGTTTCTTGTGTTTGCAAGATCCTATCCTTTAGAACAAATCATCTCAAGATACACCAGTATCTTAAAATATTTCCCAAAAGTTTTAGATCTTACATTCAGGTCATTGATTCATTTTTTGGGTTGAATTTTGTACAGGTGAGAGATAGGGGTTGTTTCAATCTTCTGCGTGTGGACATCCAGTTTTACTGGCATCCCTTGTTGAAGAAGCTGTCCTTTCTTCAATGTATGTTTTGTGGTACTTTTTCAAGAACCAGCGAGCTGTAGATACATGGTTTTATTTCTGGGATCTCTATTCCATTCTATTGGTCTATGTGTATGTTCTATGCTAATACTGCACCATGTTCTTTTGGTTACTTTGATTCCATTGTTGTCTTAAAATCAGAAATTGTGATGCTGCCAGCTTGGTTCTTTTTGCTTAAGTTTACTTTGGTTATTTATAATCCTTTTTTGGTTTCCATATGAATTTTAGGTCTGTGTTTTCTATTTCTTTGAACAAGGCCGTGATATTTTAATGGACATTGCATTGCTTCTGCAGATTGCTTTGGGCAGTATGGACATTTTAACAATGTCAGTTCTTCTGATTATGGATGTGAGCAGTTTTTCCGTATTCTATTATCTTCTTTACTTTCCTTCAGCTCTGTTGAGTAATTTTTGCTGTAGAAGTCTTTTACTTCTGTGGATAAGTTTGTTGTTAAGTATTTTTTTTTTTTGTAGCTGTTGTGAATGGCATTGCTTTTGTCACTTCTTGTACAGTGAATTTATTATTGGTGTACAGAAGATCTACTAAACTTTGTGTGTGGTTTTGTATTCTTCTACCTTACCAAATTTATCAGTTTCAGTAGTCTGTTGGTGAACTCTTTCTTTTTCTTATATATAGTGTCATATCATTACCACACATAGGTTATTGGACTTTCTCCCTTCCTGTTTGTATGCTTTTTTTATTTCTTTCAGTCTAATCGTTTCAGCTGAAACTTCTGGTACTATATTTAATGAGAGGCAAGAGTGGCATCCTTGTATTGTTCCTGATTTTAGAGGAAATGCTTTCAGCTCTTTCCTATTCAGTATGATGTTGGTGATGTTTGTTAAATGTAACCTTTATTACTTTGTCATATGACCTGTCTCTATCTAATTTGTTCAGGACTTTTATCACGAAAGGATGTCAAATTTTATCAGACCTTTTTCTGCATTTATTAAGAAGATCATGTATTTTAAATTTTTTGTTCTGTTGATGTGATGTATTACATTTATCGATTTGTGTGTTTTGACCCTTTTTATATCCCTGCAATGAAACTAGCTTGAGTGTTCCTGTTGTGCTGTTAAATTCAACTGGGGTTTTATTGAGAATTTTTATGTCTGTGTTCATCAGGGATGTTGGTCTATAGTTTTCTTTCCTTTCTCTGTGTGTGTGTGTGTGTGTGTGTGTGTGTGTGTGTGTGTGAGACTTGTCTTTCATAAGAAGGTAATGCTTACTGTCTCAGTTACTTTTTTCTTGTTGCTGGGACAAATACCTGACTCCCAAAATTAAGGAAGGAAAGGTTTATTTAGCTTACAGTGTGTGGAGGTTTCAGTTCATCATCAGCTGGCTCCAAAGCAGAGTGGCACATGGCAGAGGGCAACAGTTCATGGCTGCGGAAGATAGCAAAAGCACCAAGAGCAAAGAAAGGAAGAGCAGCAGTGGAAGAGCAAACCTCTTTCCCTCCCTTATGTTGTATGCAAGATACCAGGGCAGGTATAGCTCTTACACTCAGAAATCAATCATAAACTCTAGAAGCCTGCCCCATGACTGCATGAGGCTTTGGGAGGACATCCAGACACAAACCATAACACTGACTTTAGACTGAGTTTGAGGGATTCCTTCTCTTTAAATCCTATGGGACAGTTTCAGAAGAACTGGTGTTAGTTCTTTAAAGTATAACTTGTTTTTTGAAGGAGAAGGTACACTATTCCCTCTTTTACATCTTGGATTTTCTTACCCTCCTTTAAGCTCCTCGGTCCCTTAAAAATATCAAGATCAAAGTAGTGGTCAAGCGTTCAAAAAATTCTAGGAGAGTCTACACTGTAAGCAAGTCTTAGCATTTTCAGGGACAAGGGAGGAAAAAGATATAACCTGTGTGGGACTCGGGGTACTTGTCATGCCTGGAGAGGCAGCCCCTCATGCTCAACAGAGCCCTTTCGTGGTCAGAAAAGCCCGTTTGGCTCCTTCTGCTCCTACATTCGAACTCTGGAATCCGTCAGGACGGCCCTGGAGAAATAGAAGGCCACAGGCCTCATCTCCCCTGCTCCGGGGATTTATACCCTTGCTGTTGGTCATGAGGCTCAATCTAGGCAGGTGTAGTCAGGTGTGGAACTTAATGTTTCACTTTTGGGATAAGGTGGAAATTAGGTGTTTGAGTGCCGGCTTGTGTGTAAATGGCTCTGAAACTTGAAGCTGTTCCAAATCCCCGAGCAACCAGTAGAACCAGGCTCTTTTTATGAAAATCCGCAAGGGCCACAGAAAGGCTACCATTGGCCAGGCTTCCAGGCCACCCAAACACTGGGGCAGGAGAGGGAACAAATCCCGCCCAAGCCTCGGGGCACAGAGTTGGCCCCAAAGACAACCCTAGACAGAGGCTAGCGGGCCGGGCACTTCAAAGGGCCCTCTCCACCCGGCACGGCGTCTCCCGGGCCTGCGCTCCAGACTGGGGTCGCGGTGGGAAACGGAAGAAGCAAGAGAGAGGGAGGAGGAGCCCAAACACCTTAAGCCAGGGCGGAGCGGATTTCGCTCTGCGCGAAACTTCTTCGGAGCCCGGAGTGGGGGGTCCTCCCGGAGGAAGCGCAGCAGCCCTGCCCCTCGTCCCTCAAGCGGGCACGGCTGAGCGTACCCAGGGAAAGGGGCTTGGGTCGAGGACAGGGATCCAGAGCCATGGCCGAGGCCGCGGAGCCGGAGGGGGGAGCTCCGGGTGCCCAGGGGCCGCCCGAAGACCCAGCGACCCTGGCCGCGGGCTCCGAGGCGGAGGGACACGAAGCTGGCGAGGGCGCCGCAGCGGAGCCCAGCGGCGAGGGGACGCGCGCGGTGGAGGAGGACGGCGGCGGGCGGGACGCGGGGTGCGCCGGCGAGGGAGGGGACCCGGGGGCTGAGACTCAGGGCTCGAGGGGAGCGCAGGGCTCGGAAGAGGCCGGGGAGGAGACCAGGAAGGGGACCCAGGACGGCACCGCGGTGCCCCCCGCAGGGGAGGGGGCGGGCGGCGCGCAGCAGGTGGAAGAGAGCGCGGGGGAGGCTGAGGGGGACCTCGGGGACCCCGCGGCCCCGGAGGAGCCAGGGGAAGAGGAGCGCAGGCTGGAGGAGACACCGGGGTTCGGCGTAGATGCCCAGGGGCCTGGAGGGGACAGAGTGGACGCCCAGGGGCAGGCAGGGGACAGCGTGGACGCCGAGGGGCCGGGAGGAGACAGCGTGGGCGCCCAGGGGCAGGCAGAGGACAGTGTAGATGCCCAGGGGCAGGCAGGGGACAGCGTGGGCGCCCAGGGGCAGGCAGGGGACAGTGTAGATGCCCAGGGG